ACAACACAGTAACATTTTTATCTTACATCCTGCTACCTTTTGCTGAACTCATTTATTAGTTTTAGTATTTTTGTCTGTGGGAGGCATTCCTTAGGATTTTCTGCATTTGGGATCATGTTGATTGCAAGTAAACACAGTTTTATTTCTTCCTTTTCATTGTGAATTCTTTTTGGTAGTTCCCGTCTGTTCCTAGTAATGGGTGTTGGATTTTTTCCCAATGCTTTTTCTGCACCTATTGAGAAGATCATGTGTTTTTTGGTCCTTTATAGTGTATTACATTGTTGATTTTCATATGTTGCACTGACCTTACATTCCTGGGATAAGTCCCACTTGGTCACGATATAGTCTTTTTTATACAGTGCTGAACTTGGTTTACTAGTATTTTGTTGAGGATTTTTGTCTTTATATTCATGAGTGATATTGATCTGTGGTTTTCTTTTCTTGTGATATGTTTCTCTGACTTTGGTGTCAGGGTAATACTGGCCTCATAGAATGAGTTGGGAAGTATTCCCTCCTCTTCTATTTTCTAAAAGAGTTTGTGAAGGATTGACTATTTGATATAATTTATTGATGAAGCCATCTGGGCCTGGTTGTGTTTTAATGGGATTTGTACATTTATCAGTATTGGTAAAGTAAAATAAGTAAAAAGGCCATTGCTTTCATCTTAAAAAAAAGTTTTTATATGGAAATTTTACATATAATGTGATTTAAAAATAAACAGCAGAAGTTTATTCTCTCACAGTTCTGGAAACCAAAAGTCTAAAATCAATGTTAGAGGCTCTAGGGGAAAATCCATTCTTTGCCTTTTCTGGTTTCTGGTGGTTGCTTGTATTCCTTGACTTGTGCCACCATCTTTGTATCACCTCCTCCTCTGTGTGTCTGTGTCAAATCTCCCTCTGCTTTGCCCTAATAAGGACACATACGATTGCATTTAGGACCCACCCAGGTAATCCAGGATAATATCCTCATCTCAATATCCTTAATTTACTCATATTTGCTAAGTCGATTTTTCCATATAAGTTAACATTCATAGGTTCCAGGCATTAGGATGTGGACATATTAGGCGGGCATTTTCCAGCTATCACAGGCCCCATATTAATTACTTCTGGCACTTCATTTCCAATACTCTCCCTCTTACTCACTCTTTTCCAGCTATACTATTTTCTTTGCTTTTTCTTGAACACACTAGTGACTGCCTTAGAGCTGTTGCCATTCGGTGTTTTCTCTCTCCAGGTCGTTCTTCTCCAGCTAATTACATTTCGGTTTTGCTCAGATATCACTTTTTTTTAAAAAAATAAAATTATATATTATTTTTTGTTGAGAATATACATAGCGAAACATACACTGATTCAATGGTGTCCACATGTTCAATTCAGTGACATTGATTACAGTCTTCCAGTTGTGTAACCATTCTCACCCTCCTGTTTTGAGAGTTGTTCCTCCCATTAACATAAACTCACTGCCCACTCAGGTTCCTGTCTAATCTTTCAAGTTGCTGTTGTCAATTTGATCCTATATAGATAGATCTTAAAAAAAACGTAATGCTTAAGGTAGATACTCTTTACCAGTTAAGCTAAACAATTGTTTGGTTTTAAGAGGACTTCAGGGGATCTTTTTGGTTTAAGGTTTAAAGATTATCTCAGGGCAATAGTTTTCAGGGGTTCATCCAGCCTCCAGGGCTCCAGAAAGTCCATGAGAATTTGAAATTCTGTTCTGCATTTTCTCGCTTTTGATCAGGATTCTTCAATAGAATCTTTGATCAAAATGTTCAGTAATGGTAGCTAGGCACCATCGAGTTCTTCTGGTCTCATGGCAAAGGAGGCAGTTGTTCATGGAGGCACTTAGCTTGACATTCCATTTCCTCTTCCTACTCCTGACTCTCCTTCTTCCTCTGTTGCTCCAGGCGAATAGAGACCAATTGTTGTGCCTTGAATGGCTGCTTGCAAGCTTTTAAAACCGCAGCCACTGCACAATGACTAGGAGGAGCAGAAGAACTAAACACATTATTAGGCCAACTAGGATGTGGCGCCCTGTGCCACTTGTGGCACAGTGGTTAAGAACTCGGCTGCTAACCCAAAGGTTGGCGGTTCAAATCCACCAGCCGTTCCTTGGAAACCCTATGGAGCAGTTCTAGGTTTGCTATGAGTCAGAATCAACTTGACGGCAATGGCTTCGGTTTGGTTTTTAACTAGGATGTGCTGTTGTTGTTAGGTGCCGTTGAGTTGGTTCTGACTCATAGCGACCCTATGTACAACAGAACAAAACACTGCCCAGTCCCGCACCATCCTCACAATCGTTTTTATGTTTGAGCCCATTGTTGCAGCCACTGTGTCAATCCATCTCACTGAGGGTCTTTTTCACTGACCATCTACTTTACCAAGCATGATGTCCTTCTCCAGGAACTAGTCTCTCCTGATAACATGTCCAAAGTATGTAAGATGAAGTCTTACCATCCTTGCTTCTAAGGAGCATTCTGGCTGTACTTCTTCCAAGACAGATTTTTTCATTCTTCTGGCAGTCCATGTTCTTCGCCAACACCATAATTTAAAGGTGTCAATTCTTCTTCAGACTTCCTTCTTCACTGTCCAGCTTTTGCATGAGGCGATTGAAAATACCATGGCTCGGGTCAGGTGCACCATAGTCCTCAAAGTGACACCTTTGCTTTTAACACTTTAAAGGGTTTTTTTGCAGCAGATTTGCCCAATGTAATATGTCATTTGATTTCTCGACTGCTGCTTCCATGGATGTTGATTGTGGATCCAAGTAAAATGAATCCTTGACAACTTCAATCTTTTCTCTGTTTATCATGATGTTGAGGAGCCCTGGTGGTGCAGCAGTTAAGTGCTCAGCTGCTAACCGAAAGGTTAGTGGTTCAAACCCACTAGCCCTTCTGCGGGAGAAAGATGTGGCAGTCTACTTCTGTAAAGATTTACAGCCTTGGAAACCCTATGGGACAGTTCTAATATGTCCTATAGGGTCTCTGTTAATTGGAATCGACTCGATGGCAATGAGTTTGGTTTCAGTTTTTTATCATGATGTTGCTTATTGGTCCAGTTGTGAGGATTTTTGTTTTCTTTATGTTGACGTGTAATCCATACTGAAGGCTGTGGTCTTTGATCTTCATCAGTAAGTCCTTCTCACTTTCAGCAAGCAAGGTTGGGTCATCTGCATATCACAGGTTGTTAATGAGTCTTCCTCCAATCCTGATGCCATGTTCTTCTTTATATAGTCCCGCTCCTCAGATTATTTGCTGAGATGTAGATGTCACCTTTTCAGTGAGGCCTTCCTGACCCACTCTATTTAAAATCACATTTCTTCCTCATTTCATTCCAATCCTTCTTTCTGCTGTAATATTCTTCATAGGACTTACTACCTTTGACAAAATATGCTTTACTCATTTATTTTCTTATTGTCTGTCTTTCCTCACTTGGATATTAGCTCTGTGATGGTAGGGGTTTTTGTTTGTTTTGTTCTATGCTGTATCCCCAGAACTTGGAATTTTGCCTGGTACACAGTAGATATTCAACAAATATCTGATAAATAAATAAATGACTCTTCTTCCATATTGTCCCTAGAGGGATCTTTCTCAAATCCATTTCTAAGTTTTTCCTCTGCTTTAAAACTGTTTAGAGATTGATTATTTTTTGCCTATGGACTCAAGGATGGCCTCCTAAGCATGCCTGCCAAGTTCCATCTGACCCTAAGCTTCTTTTCCAGCCTCATTTCCTACTGTCTCTCTTGAAGCACTGTTAGCTGTACCCATACTTAGCTTCTTTTTGTTCTTTTGTGGTTTTCAGCTTTTCTGTGGTTATATATAACAAAATATTTATTTCAACCATATTTACACATACTATTCAGTGACATTAATTACATTCGCCATGTTGTGTAAACATCACCCCATCCCAGTTTTCTCACCACCCTTAAGCAATAACTTCCCCTTTCCCCTACCCAGACACTCCTGGTGACTGTGATTTTGAACTATACATATAGTCACACCTCACCTGTCTGAAAATGAACCTGTTACCTGTCTAAAACACAATGGAAAACCAAGATGAAAAACCTTCCAGCACTCAAACTAGGTGTCCCAATGTCCATGTATTTTACTCAATAGGAGAGCGTTACTGGGTTCCATGAAGAGTCTATTTACTCTTCCAGTACATACAGTACTAACAGGTTTGGATATCTGGGTTCTCATCTTATGGTAGATTGGAAGTCATAATTTATAACAAAGTGGAGAGCTCTTCAAGGGAAGTCAATGACCAAAAAGTAATTCATATCAATATGACACAGACTGAAGAGGTATAAAAACTATAAAGAAGATACAAGAATTCAAAAATCAAAACACCCAGAGGCCATTTACTGTCAGGAAAGATAATCCTAAATGCCTCAATTGCCTTTGAAGGCATGGTGCCATAATAGATGTTTGCAGTGGTAAACTGGGGACATCTAGAAAAGAACAAATTATAATCAGTGATAAATTACTGGCTGTTTGTTTGGAGAAGCCAACTTTCCAGAATGATTCCTCTTCTGGGGTTTCCAGATAACTGGAGTTTTACTAGATTCTCATTGTATAGAGTGATGAATTGGCTGTGACTGGCTTGCATTGTAGTTGGTGTTTATATTGCCCCTTTCTTGATAATGTACGATCAGGGTGGAATGAGGGTGGTAGGCTGATCGGAAGTAGGAGAGATCATAAACAGAATGTGGGAGAAGAAAAACCTAACAACATATTCAGCTGTGATCCTGAAGCCCCTAAAACCTACAGTGTGCCTGTGACTTATACTGACACTTCATAGCAACCCACTACTTCTGATTTGAAAAAGAGTCAGTTATTTCTCCCCTATAGAAACATAAATATGCATAGAGCATGGGATGGGAGGCCTTGGGCTGCACGGGCTACAAAGGAAGGGCTATTTGGAGGAGGTCAGAGGGTCTGCTGGGTGAGCCATTGCTTAACTCCTCAATGGTAATGTGAAAAATGTCACTTCTCTGTCATGCAGCAGAACTGGGAGACTTTCATGAAGAAACAGATAGGAAACATCTGGCACAAACCCGGTACTTACCAAACCAAGACTGTTTAGAGAGCAAGATCCTGCACTTTCATCAGAAACACATGTAAGTACTTTAACTGGCATCTGATTCCAGCCGTTGTTGCTGCCGTTGTTAGCTACCATCAAGTCAGTCCCTAACTCCTGGTGACCCCATGCACAACAAAATGAAACACTGCCTGGTCTTGCACCACTCCCCATGACCGGTTGTGAATTGGGTTTTCATTGGCTGATTTTCAGAAGTAAATAGCCAGGCCTTTCTTCCCAGTCCATGTTTGTCTGGAAGCTCTGCTGAAACTTTGTTAAGCATCACAGCAACATAAAACCACAGACAGAAGGGTGGTGGCTACATATGAGGTTCAATGGCCAGGAATTGAACCTGGATCTCCCGCATGGAAGGTAAGAATTCTAGGGAGCACTAACGCTCCTAAGAGTATGAAGGACATACTCTTCAAACCAAGCCTGTAAGTCTGAGAAGCTTCAGGCTCAAGAAAATGCTGAGCTCTGTTGGAACTCTCAGGATAGAGGTATCATTATTGTTACATTTATTAGGCTCATAAATTCTTTCACCTTGCAGCGGTAGGAGCCCAGCTGAATCTGACATTCTCCTCCTGGACATAGCAAGGAAGCTGGATATGTATGGCATCAGGCCTCACCCCGCCAGTGATGGCGAAGGGATGCAGATCCACCTGGCTGTTGCTCACATGGGCGTATTGGTATTACGGGTAATCATTCTTTCCTTTGAAGCCTTCAGCTTGGGGGGTTATCTTGGCTCAAACTTGGGTGTTCATTCCCAAGGTGATCTCACCTCTCAGTCTTAACACCAGCCAGAAAGGGAACTAATGCTTGGAAATGTTTTGGGAAGTCCTCTCCCCTCAGTGTGCTTTGCTTCCATTTGCAGTCTACAATTGACAGTATTGATTCTGAGGAGCTCACACATTAGATCAGGCCAACATAGTAGGGAGACAAAGTCAAGAGACTCCTTGGAACTTCTAGACACTAAACAACAATATGGATTTTGGCATCCTAAAAACTTAGGCTGTGACACCAAATGCTTTCATCTTGTCCAAATCCACTTGAGGGGTTCAACATGTGGTATTCTAGTTCAGTTGTCGATTTCACTTATGAGAGAAAAAGGGGTGACCTAAGACCCACTGACCCCCAAGGCCAAATTAGAGCACTGAAGTAAGTTACAAAGCAGGTCAGGCACATACTAGCCAATAGAGTCTTAATCTCATGTATTTGGATGTAAACTTTTCAGCATGACAGCCACATTGATGGGCCAAAGACCCAATGGATCACAGGCATTACCTGTTCCCAAGAGAGACTTGTCACCTACTCCATTCTAACCCTTGATCCTTGTCATTTTATACTACATGGAAGAAGAAGAGGAGGCAAGTGGACAAGGACAATGTGTTGGTTGTGATCTCCTTCAGTGAGAATACTTCCGTGGACAGTTGGGAACAATATAGCTGATCTTAATTAATCTGCAAACCCTACCCCAAATCCCATCAAATTATACTTATTATTGAGCACCTTCTATGTGTTCATCGTATTATTTATTCTTTCTTTTCATAAAAAAGTTTTATTGATATAATTTGCATACCATAAAGTTCACCTCTTTTAAGTGTACATTTCAATGGTTTTTAGTATATTTACAGAGTTAGCAGCCATCTATCCATCCACCCATTTATTAATATATTTATTGGGCATCCACTCTGTGCCAGACACTAGAACTACAGAGATTATTAAAAATGTTCACTGATTTTATGGAGCTTGCATTCTAATAGGGGAAGATAGACAATTAAACAAGTAATTACAAATAAACATAATGTGCTTTATGCTAGAGGAAGTATGTAGTACTATGGAAACACATGTGAGAGGGGCTTACCATTTAAGCTAAGACCTGAGGAATTGAGCAGGAATTATGAAAGCCAAGGGAATAGGGTTGGAGGGTGGAGGAGAGTGTTTCAGAGAAAGGGCACAAAAATAAAGAAGCCCTGGGAAGGATAAAATATGACATAGTCAAGAAACTAACATTGAACATGAGACTTGGCTTCTGTTACCAGGATCTTACAATTTATTTGGGGAGACCAGAGAAATCATGAACAATACTAGACAGTAAGTAATCAAGAGCTAATCTATCATATTTACTTCGAGTTGTATGACAAGTCTACACAATAAACTAATAAACGTGGTTACCTGTAGGGAATAGGTAGATGGGGACACAGGTAAGAGTGACAGTGGTGGGAGTGAGACTTCTCAATATATATCTTTTTATAAACCTTTGATTTTTGGATAATGTGAGTGGATTACCATTTCAATAAACAACGAAACTTCAGTTATTTGGCTAGAGCAGGAGAACTAAGGGAGTTTAGGGTAGTCAGAAATGACTGTAGGCTGCAGTAATTAGAATATCTTAGGGGAGGTGCTACCAGAGCGGGCAAGAAGACTTGACAATGTGGAAGGCATTCTAGGTAAGGAGAATGAGAAGACCTACAGGAGGGAAGGTGTAGAGTTGGATGGAAGGGTGTTTTTCTGGGAGCAGTGGGAGAGAAGTTTGGATACTCAGTATAGAAGGGACAGGCTTATAGAAGGTTTGGGGAAGACAGTTGAAAGAGTTTAGACTTGATGATGCAGGCAGTGGGGAGCTATTGAAGATGCCTGAGTAAATGGAGTGGCATGATATATAGGACACTTTTTTTAGCAGCTGAATCTGAAACATGGCAGAGAATCAACTGCAGTAACCTTTTCCTACTGTGATCTCCCTGCCCTGGCATACCCTTCTTGCTTGCAATTCAGAGCAGCCTTGTGTCCCACCTGGAATGCCTTCTTTGGCCATAGATAGATAGCTGTTGTCGAGTCAGTTCCAACTCATGGGGACCTTATGTACAACAAAACGAAACATTGCTGTGTCCTGTGTCATTCTCACAATCATCAGCATGTTCAAGTCCATCGTTGCAGTTATTGTGCCAATTCATCTCACAAAGGGTCTCCCTCACCTTTGCTGGCCCTCTACTTCACCAAACACAATGCCCCCCCCCCCAGCAATTGATCCCTTCTGATGACATGTTTAAAGCAAGCAAGTCAGACAATGTTCTGTCGTGATCTATACGTTTTTCACTGGCTGACTAATTTTTGGAAGGGAGCCCTGGTGGCACAGTGGTGAAGAGCTACGGCTGCTAACCAAAAGGTCAGCAGTTTGAATCCACCCACCGCTCCTTGGAAACCCTATGGGGCAGTTCTACTCTGTCCTATAGGGTAGCTATGAGTCAGAATCGACTCAATGGCAACAGGTTTTTGGTTTTGGAATTTTTGGAAGTAGATTGCCAGGCATTTCTTCCTAGTTTGTCTTATTCTGGAAGTGCTGCTGAAACTTGTGCACCATTGGGTGACCCTACTGGTATTTGAAATACTGATGGCAGAGCTTCCAGCATCATAGCAACACTCAAGCCACCACAGTGGTCTCTGACCATAGCTTCTACCTAGTGTGTGACAGGATCAGTCTGCTCACGAGAGGTCACAGATGGTCCCATTCATGAAGTGCATTTTCTATCAGATCTGCACTGTCTTGTCAAACCAGCTTGTGCTGACACTCATCCTGAAATCTGCCTCGTGTTTCATTATAGGGAAATACAAAGATCAATACTTTCAACTGGGCTAAAATCCGCAAGTTGAGCTTTAAGAGAAAGCATTTTCTCATCAAGCTTCACGCCAACATCTTGGTGAGTAGCTTTCTAACGAATTCTTTTTTTTTTTTCCTATGCACTTGGGGATTTCTTGGTAATTTCTACAAATGGTTTGAATGCAAGTGGTGAAAGCTGGCTGGCCCTTAGGAGTGATGCGCTCTCTCTTTTGCTTCTGCATAAATAAACCAGAGCTTCACTCATATTTTTACTAAAGGCAAAACACATAGGAAAGCCAATCGGCAGTTCAGAATTAATAAAGCAATTGGAAAATGGGGCAACTGTGGTGTAAGGCAATCTATTTGGAAATCATTTTTTCAGGGATTTGATGACCCAAATGGGGGTGACCAGATCTAGGACTATGGACATATTCATTTGATAGTATCTGCTGTCTTTTCTAAAATAGCCTCACCCTCTTTAAGTAAAAAGTATTGAACACCTAATACGTGCCAAAATCAAGCGGGATGTGTGTGTGTGGGAGGGGTGTACATATAAGCAAAGGAAGCAATTGTTGGGCAAGGCTGCATTGCACAGGATGAGACAAAGGCCCTAGAAAAGGTGTTCTTTTATGACCATATGGGAAATGAAAAATGGAGATCAACCAATTTTTGACCTATAGAAAATCTGGTAATTTGAGGCATCATTCTTTGGATCTTAGCCTTCTATAAAAGTGTTCATTTGAGCAGTTTAAGAGATCATATCCAATGGGAAGCTCATGGAGAGGCCTGGGGCTGCAGGCAGGTATTCCAAAAGGAATGAGAGAAGGGGGGCCAGCAGAGTGGGTTGGCGGTGCTGCTGAAAACAGGGCTGCAAGCATGCCATGTTGCTTTGGGCTAATGAGGATATAAAGTGAGTTAGGTGATGGGGAAAACTTGAGCTTTAGGTCTGAAAGGCCCAGTTCCCTTAGAATAGACTAGAATATACTAAATAAGCACTACAGACCATTATAGAACAAGGCAGCATAAAGAAAAGAAAGTGTCTCTAGCTGATATATTAAAAAGAAAGACTAACATACATGTAATCATCCTATAAATCCTACCCTCTGTAAGGAAATCCAACCCCCCTTTCCTGTTGGTCATATAACTTCTTGTCACCTTCAAAGGATGCCCATTGATGTTCATTTTAACCTAATTTACAACTTCATAAAAATGTTCCTGGCAGGAAACAGGGGGTAAAAAAGGGTTTGAGGTGAGGTGAGTGTGCAAATCAAGATTTACTTCTCAGAGAAGGCTCTGTTTGTGGACAGTGGCCCTGTCTGTTCCTTGGAAGGCTGCCAATCATTTGGTGTCTGTAGGTGTGAAGCCTACAGGGATCCAAGTGAAAAATCAGAAGCCCAGCTGCATAAGGCCCCTGGACCAATAGTTTTGGAAGGTTTTGGGATTTCTAGGTCTTTGATATTCTTGAAGGATGTTTTGCTTTAATGGAAATTGGTTTATACAGGTGTTGTGCAAGGACACCTTGGAGTTCACCATGGCCAGCCGAGATGCCTGCAAGGCTTTCTGGAAGACTTGTGTGGAGTACCATGCTTTCTTCAGGCTTTCTGAAGAGCCCAAATCAAAGCCCAAAACCCTACTCTGCAGCAAGGGTTCCAGTTTCCGCTATAGGTAAATATTGCACGTCAGCAAATTACACACAGATTCTTTTCAATAACATGGAAGGCAATAGAAGCTCAAATTCTAGAAGCAATAAAGAATCCATTTCAATCACTTGAAAGGTGATACCCTTTACTACTCATTCCATGTGTGACATATTAAGTCATTGTTTCCCAACTGGGAGGCAGGAAGAGGGGTACCCCACCTAGGGAGCTAGATCAGAATCTCTGCAAGGATGGGGGGCATGTGAATCTTGAGAAAACGTATTCAATGAACTTACTGTTTTCCTTATAGGTAACTTATATGCAAACCAAGGAAAGGAAAGCTCAACAACATCCTTTTGGAGATGGTTAGGCTAGTGTGAGAAAGCATTGTAGGGGTAAAGGATTAAAAAGATTAAGCAATATTGCACTAGAAGCTCCTCACTACAGGTAACACCTTGGAGGAATGGACAGGAGCTCAAATTAAGATGTTTTTATTTGAACACACGGGCCTAGGATTTCTTTGGAAGGAACTTTCAAAACTCTTAGCTGAAATTGAAGATTCTAATTCAATGTTTCCATATAAGGGATTTTTTTTTTTTTTCACATTGTGGAAGCCTGCTCCATTAAGAACTGAGATTTTAAAAACTTACATATTTTTTATGGAATCTCTCCAAAGTGGAGTCTACAAATCCCTGCCTTCTTAAACAGATGATATGGAGTATACTTTGCCCTTTTCTTAATGACTTATTATAAACATCACTTCTTATCCTCAGCAGGCAGCTGTAGTGCAGTGATGGCCTCTGGGTGGGGTTGGGGAGGCATATCAGGCCCTGCACTTCAGTGATAAACAGCCCAGACTTTTGGGTTTTATTATTTTTGTGATTGTTTTTTTTTTTTTTTGGTCTCTGTTTCTCCCAGCAGTCAGCTGGCTTTCTTTTCTAGAGTATACATGACTAGAGCCTGAAGCAACTCTTCTACCATTGAGTTAGCTGCCTTTCTTCTACCATGCATTGGGGAACCAGATAAATAACCTCAGTAGAAGTAGTGTGTAAAGTTAAGAGTCAACTGGCTCTGATTCGGATGTAGACGGAAAGCCTTTAAAGGAAAGTATTCGTTTTCAAGCCCAGACTCTTGAACAGTTATATAGCCCTGTTTAGAGGCTTTTAAAAAAATGTTCTGGGTTCTGGGTAGTTGAGATTGCTCTACATCTGATCCTTGGATAAGTGGGCATTATCACTAATGTGGAGCCCCTGGGTGGTGCCAACAGTTAATGTGCTCATTACTAACCGAAAGTTTGGAGGTTCAAATCCACCCAGAGGTGCCTCAGAAGAAAGGCCTGGCAGTCTACTTCTGAAAAATCAGCCACTGAAAACCCTGTGGAGCACAGTTCTACTCTGACACACATGGGGTCACCAGGAGTGGGAGCTGACTCCACAGCAACTGGTTTTACAGGTTTTTATCATTAATGTGATGGTCAAAGATTCATGACACATGTCATTCATTCTCATTCTTTTGGTTTCAACAATAAATGAGGTTTTCAAGTGTTAGTGGCCTATTGGCTTATAACTAGTATTAATATGACTTTTATCTCCTTATAATAGTGGAAGAACCCAAAGACAACTTTTGGAATATGGGAAAAAAGGGAGGTTGAAGAGCTTGCCATTTGAAAGGTACATGCTTTTGTCTTTCTCTCTCTCATGCTGATTTTAAGTTGAATTTAGAGATTGATATGTATCCTGGTATTCACATGAAGACCATTTCAATGACTACTCTGTTTGGGGATTTCAGGAAACATTACCCATCTCAGTACCATGAACGACAGTGCAGGTCCTCGCCAGACCTCCTCTCGGATGTGTCAAAACAAGTAAGGTTTCTGAAAATTCCTACTCAAAAATTAGGCAAATGTAATGCGTCCACATTCTAAACGCTTCCAAGAATTGATTCCTCCAGAATCTCCCAGTGTGTAAAAAGGTTACTCTGTTTGAGTAAGTTAGCCTCCTGGGAAGGTCTGTCAGCTCAGTCTTTCCGGCCAATAGAAGACCATTTAGTAAACCACCACTGCTGTGAACCTTATAGACTGGAAGAATCTGGCACATCTTCAAATTGCAACCTGTATTGCTAATAACTTGCAAAGTGCAGATCCAAGTGAATTTCTATGGCGCTGTATTTTTCAAACTCGCACCTCTGCTTTTTTACGTATGCAAATCTTAAGGCTTAGCAGATAGAAGGTCTTTGGTTAGGGCTTTAAAGTATTTTTGCTGTGTAATTTTATAATTCAACTTAAGAACAAAGTACTGTTCCCATGGATCTGTGAGATGATGGCTTCATTTGAGTTTTATAGTGTGAACCACGTTAAATTTTTTCTTTTCCTCTCCGTAAAACAAAACAAAACACATATTAATATAGGTCCCATAAATTCTCATGTCTGTGTGGAAGTCAAAGGAAGTTTTTATATGAAAGGCATGATAGAGGTATAATGCTGGAAGGAACCATCTACTATATGCTACCCCTCCTGCCATTCATAGCCCTCCTCATCACCATTTTACAGAAAATAGGGGGGAGGCTGGACCAGGGAGGTTAGGAGACTTGCCTGAGGCCTCACAGCAAGTCAAAGGCCGAACAGGACTAGAATCCAGGTCTTCTGACTGCTGGTTCATTGATATATCTACTAAACTATACTGCTTGAAGTAACATAGAGAAGTCTGAGTTTGGGAATGGGATGGCATTGAGAACGAATAGTATCGTGTGCTTCTAACACATGAATGGGGATATGGTAGAAGTTATTACCCTTTCTTTATATATATATATAAACTCTGGAATAGAACATGGATTGAAATGACTCTGTGAAAGACTCTTGTCAAAATTCAAAGCTAATTTAGGGGCCCTCTCCCCAACCAAATGTCTGTTGCTTCTTTCACCAATGTGTCCTTTCTCTCAAGGTGGAAGATTTGAGACTAGCCTATGGCAGTGGGTGTTACCGAAACGTGAACGGAGTGCACGCATCTGAGCCGGTGCTAGACAGTAGGAGGAGGAACTCTGCAGTGGAGGTGACGTTTGCAGCCAAGCTGGAGTGTTCCAAACCAGAGGCAGATCCCATATTGTTGCATCAGTCCCAAAGCAGTTCCTCTTTCCATTTTATGTATACAGACCCTGTCTTCAACACTGACCCTGATCCTGACACTGACTTCTTTGAGGAGAGAAGTCCTCTAAGTTCCTTCCAAACAAGCTGTAAGTTTGCTAACAATCACATGAGTACATCTTCTGGCCTCACAAGCAAAGTGAGTCCAGCAAGACAGCTAACTTACACAGATGTGCCCTATATTCCCTGTACTAGTCAGCAGGTTGATATTATGCCTCCCCAAGTCTTTTTTTACGTGGACAGGCCACCCCAGGTGCCCAGACAGTCTGCAATCATGGCAGAAGAAAGGGAAAAGCCAGACAGCTGTCTAGAGCCCTCTGTAATGAAACCAGCTAAAAGAAGTCCAAGAAATATCAGAATGAACTTTCAGCGAGACTTTCAAGACCTCCAAGAAGCTAGTGGTGGGAGCAACATCAGTGTAGATCTAGAAGATGAAGACCCAACCTTAGAAGATGCATTTGCATATAACATTCAAGAGCAAACCCCTAAACGGTCTCAAAGCCAATCAGACATGAAAAGTATCCATTTTCCTTTTGGGTCAGAATTTAGACCTTTAGGGCCTTGCCCTGCTCTAAGTCGTAAAGCTGACCTGTTTACATATATGTTTGCAGAGCAGGAGTTTCCAACAGTTCTAGTGGGTCAGGGTGCAGCAGAAAGGTATGTAGCTAGTGAATCCAGTGATTCTGAATCAGAGATTCTTAACCCAGACTACTACTCTTCGTACGGTAAAGCAATAAAGTCACCCATGGCCAGAATCCGTTTGTCTTCTGGTAGTCTACAGCTAGACGAAGAAGATGAAGATGCTTCTTTCAACACATCAACTGCTGAAGACAGGACTTTGCTAAAACCATGCCATTATTTTTTAGCTTAAAACTGTGAACACCAAGAACATTTCTGGGCCAGTTCCATATGACCACCTTAGGTTAAAAAGAAAGGAACCTCTTTGCATAAACCATTTTCTTAGTTACTACTCATTAGCATTAAAGGAATCTTCTAAGTTTGAACACCTAGCTTATCAAAGAACCAGCTGTAGCCCTATTCCTCAGAAGCTGCCATTGCTAGAGCTCCACTCTTCTAGCCCCTCTGAAAGGACTCTGGAAACATGCCCTCTCCCCACTAGCACCACATAAGGGTGAGGTGGAGATCTGTCTTCTCCACCACACATTTCCTCACAGAGACATTATAAATGAAGTTCAGGCTCTTCAACACTGAAAAATGGCGGCAAAATGGGTTGGCATATGGAATTGGGTTCTGATGTCATTTAGTGATTCAGTAGATATTGACTGTGTGGATCATTCTGTTCTTAAAACAATACTTTTGACTAAAGGTTTCAGTCATCATTATCTATGTGGGCCCATTAAAACTGGTCTTGTTATATGTTAAGGACTTCAATTTTCATAACATATATATAGGGGGAGCATGGCCCTCCTACAGCCTCAGGAACAAGGCGGTGGGATAAATATTCTTAACAGAACACGCGCTGAGAATTAATCTAGGACTTGGCAGAATTCTAAACCTAGGAAATTAATAAATTAAATCAAATTCTAAAGCCAGTTCTATGCCCGATGAGGATATTATGATGTTTGACTTATAACTTCTCTACTCCTAATTACCTATTATACGTAGTGAAAGATAAAAGTTAACAGGCTAGTTTATCTAATCTGTCCTGCCAGATATATATTTTTTGCCAAATCTTGTTGCATGTATGTAAGCAAGGAAATGAGATGAATGTTATTTTAATAAAAAGTGATGGAAAATCCATTTATTTAAGAAATGATCTTCCTTTTGTTTCAATCAATTTCAGAAATGATTGGTTCTGGCCTATGACTAAGGGAAGAGACAGTTATAGAACAAGGAAAAGGAGGGAGACAGGTGAAAATGTATGGTCAGGGGTGGGGACATGGTAGAATTGAGAGTGGCTGAAAATAAAAAGGATAGTACTGAAATCAAGCTGAGTTAATGAACCAAAATTCTATTCTTGACCCATTCAAAATTTATCTACTATTGCTCCAGAAAGTTATAGCATTCTATCTGAGAATTTATTTTGTTTATTGATTTTAAGTATAATACATTTACAAGATAATGTTAAGTACTAATTTCAAAGAAATGATGCAATTATGTAGGCAAGTTATTTTTTATATATAACTTAATGGTGAAAAGATGGAAAAGTTTCATTACTCTCCTAGTCCTTACATCAGAAAATCCCCCTTTGATGTACTTCATTCCATTCCTTTCCTACATTCTAGTGCTTTCTTTTCTGCTCCTGGCCTCATATCTAGTATCACAGTAAGTTCACCTTCACCCTTTTTCCCAGGAAAAACTCAAATTCCTTTATTCTATATACTATTTCTCATCTCAATTTCTGGAAACCTTTGCTAGTTTATATATTCCAGGGAGAACTATAGAGCTCAGATCTGTATACGATATCCTAATAAAGCTATAATTAGGATGACCATACAATTTATTGTCCAACGCAGGACATTTTTAAGTGAAAAAGGACTCTATTACTAATTTTGCCAGGACAGGAGGCTGAAATTGGGGCAGATGTTCACTTTAGTTAGAAACAATGCTTAATATAATGTGAAGAATATCTTCTAATTCTCAACTGAAACATTGGTTTTAATGTTCCAACAATAAATTAAAGGGGAAAGGAGAAAAAAATTAAAACAATTGAAATATCACACCATACCACCCCCAAGAAAACAAACATTGAGAACCATGAAATTTAAATATTTATTTTTAAAACCCCCAAAATGCTGGAATATGCTTCACCTACAAACAGTTTACAGGACTAATAACTACAATGGGCAATAAGCCATACAATTTGTCTCTGTGATGCACTTGTATCCTAAAGTTTCAAAGAATTGATTTATAAATTTGTTGCTTTTACTTTTACAAAAATATTCATTTAATCCACGATATGAGTTGCAAAATTATTTCCAGGCTATCACAGATTATAAATTGCCACTGAGTTTCAGTTATATAGCAGGTGAAAATTTGAACTGAACCATGACTTCAAAATACAATGCATTAAAAATGATTGTTACAGTATAGGCACCAATGAAAATCATTTGATTGGCATATGACCTCATAATATCTTTTGCAAGTGTTTGTATTCTTTTAAAGAAAGAGGGTGTAATGGCCACTTGGATGAAAAACTGTATTCTTGACTTGAAGAACATCTTCATTCTAACATTTGGCAATGATTCAGATAAAACATGACTTTTGTGCAAAAACTAAATTGTGCAGATCCAAACATTAAAATATTAACTATTAAAACTAATTAATATCAATAATTCTACAACTACTGAAATATAGCTCCAGCTCAAAACTTAGGCATAATATATATACTGGGTTTAAAAGAAAAAGGTATTCCCACTTAACAGTACCATAAATATAACTGAAAATTAACTGTACAGTCTAACTTACCTTTGAACAGACAGAAATCACCCCATACTTACTATGGTTTTCATATGAACTAGAAAATGCTCATTTAAATACCCTTTCAAAAATGAACAACTGATGCGTATGCTTGTTAAGTATGAAGAACAAAAATGTATAAATAGTTCGTAGAACAATTTACTACCATGATAAAAATATGCTGGTGTAAGTTATAGTCATATCAACTTCTTTTAGGCTCCTCAAATCCAAGCATATAATACACGATTTTAGCGGGATATTTTAAAAATGGAACCAGACTAATCTGTCCAGTATTACCAAACACCCATCCTGGGCTAAATGGTATTGCTTTAAATTTCCAGCCATGTTAAATAAGAGTTAATTGCCTCTTTTACAAGGGAAGGCAAATACTGCATACCAAGAGGTGCTTCTGTTGCTACATGTTGCCTGCAAATGCCTCAAATACAGGGCTCTCAAATGTGGTAACACTGAGCTGCCTGGAACATCATACCAACTTGGTAGAAGAATCAATACTTGTCCAGCTTTCATTTCCGAGGGCTTATTAAAACCTGCTGTTTTAAGAAGATATGATTTATCTCCACCTCCCCACCAACAGTCATTTTTAGAACATGATTGCATAAAAAAAGAAAAAGCTTTTTGATGCTTGGTGATTTACAAAAGTTGAATTTCAGATGACTTTGAAGGACCTGTATGTTTCATGAGTGTACAGTTAACTAAAGGTCAAAACATGAAAGGTATTCATCCTAGTAACTTAAGTAATAATGATACCTAAAAGCAAAACTGGATCTCAACATTTACTAGAATACAGATGAAACTATAGTATTAAAAGTTACTCCTTACAAAATAATCTCTTCAAAATATAAAATGATAAACACCATCACAAAATAGTTGAAGAGGTTCTTCCAAATCTTCAATCATCGATATGTTGCAAAGATCCAAAAGGCACATGGAGCCCACGAGTTAATCATTGTTAAGCTTGAAGTACCTTTGGTGGGTTTCTCTGGGCCCGTATGAAACATAAGCCAAAAATAAGCTGTTTCTTAGGGGGATTCATCTGCTGAACACCTGTAAAATTAATTTAAAAATTTAAATCAATGTAATAACATGCATGTTTATATTTCTCATCTGTATGAACTCTGCAAAGAAGGAAGTGACTCCACAAACTGGATAAATTGTATTGACTCTTGCCATGTAGATGTTAAAATATAAACAAACTTCAAAAATCCCTTCTAAGTCTAATTTGGCAACTTCCAAATGATTTGTTTCCAATTGGAAAACTGAGGAGGAGTTTTCCATTAAAATTGAAGGGATTTTAAGAGGGGCTTTAATTTATGAGTACAAGTAGGATTTATCAGATAGAAAGATCTATGAGAGTGCGTGCTTTTACAGGCTATATAGTTTGTTTCAACTCGATTCCAGTGGCATCACAAATACAAAGAAATGCAAAAATGTACTGAGAAGAGATACAATGGGGTTAAGGCTAAAATTAGTATCACTTTATAATACTTAGTTTGAGCTAAGGAGTTATACGTATGTACACATATGCATACACAAGTCTTGTTTAAAAATAATTTTTTAAATTAAACATAAGAAATTTTTTTGAATGTGAACAAAGTTAAACTAGCTAATAGTTCCAAGAGACAATATAGAAACTGAATTCAAACATAAAGTGCTTCTATAGTCTACACTGGGTTCCTTTAGCTAAAATTCTTTCCTTAACTTTTCACATGGGGGTCAAACTTGGGATCTTTAGCACTGGAAGCTATGTGAACAGTGCTGTTTCTTTAAATGATGAGGGTAGTGACAAGAAAGAAAGCAATCCTAGATGGTGCTTACAAGGGCCCAAATAAGAATATGCTCAATCACCTTTTGTCTATACTCCCAACTAGCAGGGAAAAGGAAAACACACAGGCCTTTTCATCCAGTGGAAAACTACCTTGAAATGCCTAAAGATACTAATTACAAAAACTAATATTTAAGATGGTTAACATACAAAACAGTTTTCAAGAATACTACTATTAGGAAGTGACTTTGTTCCAAACAATAAATAAGTGATTGAATCAAGGCAATCATATTACATCATAAATTAGCACCCAACAGAAAATGTCAAGAAAATTTTTAAACGGCATTTAAGCTTACTTTTGAAATTTTTCAATTAGTTTCTTCACCATTTTATCTGTGATGCCGGGACAGGCAGCTTCAGCCACAGCAATACTTTTCTCGAGTTCTTCAATAGCCTGATTCCTGCTAGCATTGTTCTCATCCTGCTGTTTAAGCTGAGAAAGATCAATAGCTATAGCATTTAAAATACTATACTACTTAATATAGATGTCCCAAGCTAATGAACCTGCACTTACCTCAGCAAACGCAGGTGTGATTATCATAGACAAACAGCTCAGGGTTTGCACAAAATCTTGCTCCTTTGAATAAATAATATAGATTACACACATGGAAAAGAAAACAGTCATTCAGGTTTTTCTTAGTTATTTCATACCAATCGTGCACTAATTTAATTCCCTCCATTCCCCCAGATGAACTGGTATGACGCAAGTCCCAGTGCTTCTTCTCATCACTAATTCCCATCCATAATCCAGAAAGTCTCTCACTTCTAGGATTACAATGTTGTTGTTGGCAGCTGCCGTCAAGTCATGGTGACCACATGCACAACGGAACAAAATGCTGCCCAGCCCTGCACCATCCCCATGATCAGATGTGGAATAGACTATTGTAATCCATAGAATATTCACTGGCTGATTCTTAGAAGTAGATGGCCAGGCCTTTCTTCCTAGTCCATCTTAGTCTGGAAGCACCACTGAAATCTGTTTAGCATCATAGCAACACTGAAGCTTCCACTGACAGATGAGTAGTGGCTGTGCAAGAGGTGCACTGGCCGGGAATTGAACCCCGGTCTCCCACATGGAAGACAAGAATTCTTCCAGTGAACCACCAATGCCTCATGATTTCAATACCAAAACTGACCAAACCCGCTGCCATTATGTCAATTCTGAGTCATAGCGACTCTATAGGACAGAGTAGAACTGCCCCATAAGGTTTCCAAGGAGCAGCTGAACTTCCAACCTTTTGGTTAGCAGCCGAGCTCCTAACACTGTGCCACCAGGGCTCCAACAGATATCTGTAAGTCAAATGGGTTTATGTATCTCTATGTAAACTACATTGAAAAAGGTACCAATGGCCACTTAAATGACTTCTATTACCTTTTCTTAATTAGCTCAAAACTAAAGACAAATGGAGCATAGTATATACCACAGTGACACAGACAGGCATTTAGGGGTATTAAATTCTAACATTTTTTGGCCATCATAATCTCACTACATAGTTTGAAAAAGTCTCTCAAAAGGCAACGGTAATCTCCATGTACCTACCGCCCCATTCTGTAGTTTCTTTGGGTCAGGCTTCTTCCGCACTGTGGTAAAGCTCCATTCAGGATGAGTATTATTTTCCCTGCTGGTGGATTCCCTAAACAGATTGCCAAAGATACCTTGATAAGTTGATAAATAATTCATCTTGATGAAAATATCAAATCGCTGCAGCCAGAAGCTGAAGAGATATTTGTCCTGATGTTTACAAGAAGCATCGTATAATAAAAGCACCAGACCTCAGTTTCAGGTGGGTATTATTTACAGTGAAGATAGCAGTGGTTCTCAACTCTATGTGTACATCAGAATCGCCCGTGGTGACCTCTTAACATATAAACACTTGCTCCCCTCTTCCCCCCTCCTCGCCACTGACTGAATCAGGATCTCCAGTAGCGTGGCTTGTGATTTGTTTTATAGCTCCATGGGTGACTCTCATGGGTGGCAAAAGCCAATCACCACTGGAAAAGGGTAAAAAAATGCCCTGGTATTTTTTTTATCCCCTTCAAAATCTAGGTAGTTTTTTTTTTAATTGTGGTGCAAATATATATAACAAAACATATGCCAATTCAACAATTTTTTTACATGTATAATTCAGTGATATTGATTACATTCTTCATGTTGTGCAACCATTATTATCATCCTTTTCCAACTTATTTTGTCACCATTAATAGAAACTCTGTGCCCCTGAACAGTAACCCCCCTTTTTCCTCTCCTTCCCACCCCTGGTAACCACTAATAAGCTTTGGTTTCTATATATTTGCCTATTGCAATAAGTGAGATTATACAGTATTTGTCCCTTTGTGACTGACTTATTTCAGTCAGCATGATGTTTTCAAGGTTCATCTATGTTGGGGCATATATCAGAACTTCATTTCTCTTCATGGCTGCATAATAGTCCATTGTGGGTTTAGACCACATTCTGTTTATCTATTCATCTGTTGATAGACATTTTGGTTGTTTCTACCTTTTGGCTACTGTGAATAGCTCTGCAATGAACATTGGTGTACAGGTTTCTGTTTGCATTTCTGCCTTCAAATATTTTGGGTATGATAATTTCTTATAGATGCAGGAATCTAAGAATATTATCTAAAGAAATCTGGTGTCGCCTTTGTGGCAATTCAGCCAATGGAGGAGTAAATTCTGGTATAGCCTACAGACTATCCTAGTCTAAATGAAGTTAAGGACTTAGAGGCTAAATTGTTAATGTAAATGCTGCAGTTACAAAACACTAACTTTTCTGAGGGAGTAAAGATCATATAAAAAGAATATTTAAATGTATCAAACTGGTGATGATTTGGTATGTGGCAAAGAGGTGGGAAAGACTTGGAGATCAGCTCTCTAGAGGATGCCACCAAATTATGAGAAGACATTGCCCATTATTACTTTGAGCAAACTAATATAACTTCTTTAATCTAATCCTGTTCCAAACTTTTGTAATATACTGAAGTATCCACTAGGGGTTACACCGAGCCCACTTAAAACTAGAGCTATTCACTTCCAAGAAAAACATGCTTCCAAATTCATCGTACTCCACAAACTCTGATTGTAAAAGATTTTCATAGTTACTAAGGCAAAACCTTAGACTATGGTTTATATTTTATGCTAGAGCAAGCATACTGGATAATAGCTAAAGGTAAGCAATATTAACATGAGCTGCCTACATAAAAACTAAATAATTTGAACGTACGAATCCGAGCCCTCAGAATCTGATTCATCATCACTGTGTCCTTCTGCTTTCCATCTCTTAAATCGATCTATCAGTTCGGTCAAATAAGAAGTCTTCTTTGAATTTTTTACAATGAATTTGTGTTTCAGAAGTTCTTTAGCTGTAGGACGCTAAGAAAAAAAGAAGGATACGAATGTTTCTAGGCTCTTGATGACCGCAAGGGGTGGTAAGAAATCATTTGAATTATTAAGCTGAAAGGTGTAGTCACGAGGACAACTAAAATGCTGTAGTATAACAGCTAATTCTATTTTTGAAGTGGTTCAAAGCAACCAAACTAAATCCACTACGTTGGTACCAATCTGTTAAGCCCAATAGGGAAGACATGGCCTCCCAACCAGCAAACCAGCAGGCAGGGCCTTCTCAAAATCAGAGAAACACATGGCAGGATTTATGCAGTAAAGTAAAAATTTAAAAACATTTGAAAATAGTGCTTTAAGATATTTTTACTACATTTACTGTACATTGAAAACCTGATGAAAACTAGCAAGGCTTTAACTTTGTTATCTACACAATGCTTCTCCATCAAGCATCAATACAAAATACCAATACTGTGGGGGCTATCCCCCCAGCATTTTATTAATAATAGAATGTTCATTATCAACTTGAAAATAGTTATACCAAGCTTAGACAATTCTTGTATATTTCTAGTCTCTAGAAGCCATAAGGCAACTTTATTTTTAAAAAGTGAAACAACTTTACTCAAATTCACCAAATAAATGAGTGTAACCCACTAGACATCAGAAAAATTATACAACTTCATGCTGGGATTTCTAAATATTAAATAAAAGTAGTCAAACAAACAACTTTTCACAAACAATGAAAACACAGTTGAATAAAAATCATTGTGAAGATTTATACATATACTTTAAAATGGATATCATCTAAGATAAATTATATTTCTTAAACTTCTTTCCCCTTGAAATAGGAAATGATCAATAAAATAAAGAGGAAGGTGGGACCAAGAAAAAGGTGCAGGGGAAGGAGAAAGGAACTATGGGTATGGTTAAGAGCTGCATAGGATTAGCAATATACAGGGAAGAACCAGCTTCCTGGATGGACCTTAGACAATTTTCACATGCATTGTACCCCTCACTGTAGGAAAAGCTACCTTTGCTGTATGTAGATCTAATAACAGAAAACAAATAGTAGTAATAGCAATATATACTCACAAATGATGGATCTTTGTTCAAGCAAGCATCAATAAACTCCTTAAAGGACTTAGAAAAGTCTCCAACAAGAGTTGGAGGATTGTTTTTTGGAATAAGAAACAGAACTCTCATTGGATGCATATCGGAGTTAGGTGGCTCTCCCTTGGCTAGCTCAATAGCAGTAATTCCCAACGACCAAATGTCAGCCTAAGGTAAGAGAAAGAAAAGAAAAATCACCTTGAAGCTCCATTCCAACATACTGTCCACAAAATATCCTGTGGAATTGAATGATCATACAGTATTAATATGTCTCAAGAAATGTGGTGTTAATAAATTTTTACTAACAGAATTCATTTACTGAAAAATAAAGACATTTATTGAATTCTTTACTATATACCAGGCATCATTCTAGGCAGTAAGGATTCAGGTCATGAATAAGACAGACAAAAATCCCCGCTCTCAAGGGGCTTACATTCTAGTAGCGGGGACAGATAAATAAATTAATAATACAATGACAGATGGGTGCTAAGTTCTATGAAGAAAATAATAAAGCAGGGCAAGAGAATAACGAACAATGGGGCTAACGGGCTGCACATTTATACAGGATGGCCAGGAGGGCTGTTCCCTGTAGGTAATATTTAAACAGAGACCTGATTGGGAGGAAGGTTATTTAAAACAAAGGAAAGGGCAAGTGCAAAGGTCCTGAGGCCAGAGTGTACTTGCTATGCTTGAGGAAAAGCAAAAAAGCCACCGTGGCTGCAGAGTTCAGAGGAGAGTGGTAAAAGATGAGGCTGGAGAGGCAGCCAAGGGCCCGATCATGAAGAGCCTTATATATCATAGTAAGGATACCCTGGATTTTATTCCAAGTGGGATGGAAAGCCATTGAAGGGAATAGAGCTCAAATGTTACCAGCATCAAGGAAATTTAAGCAGCAAAATTTGACACTTGAAAAGAAATGAAAACCAAGGCAGTTTATTAAATAGGATAGTGCAGTACTTAAAATTTACTATTACAAACAAAACAGTTCGTTCTGGTAACCCCTTACTTTTGAATCATAAGCCGACTGTTGAATAACTTCAGGAGCCATCCAAAATGGTGTTCCTACAAAGGTGTTTCTTTTAATTTGTGTATCTGTCAGTTGGCCAGCAACTCCAAAGTCAGCAAGTTTAACATCTCCTTGTTCTGAGAGCAAGACATTGGCAGCTAGGAAGAAAAAGAGGAAAGATAAAACTCAGCTTCCTCAGAATGCATTCATTTTTCTCTGGTTCATATAAGACTTTTGTATACCTTTTATGTCCCGGTGAATTTTCTTTTCTGAATGCAGATAGTCCAGACCTTTCAAAATTTCCTTTAGCATGGTAGCAATCTGGAACTCATCAAATGGACCAGCTCGCAGCTTGGGGGAAAAAACACACACACAGGTATACAAAAGTTTGGAAAAAATAAAATTCAAAATTGATATTATCTTTGAATAATGGAACCACTTAAATATATGAAGTAGTCCTATTTATTAAACAAATGAGGAAAAACTTCTAAAATGTGGGGGAAGAGAGCAAAAGAGTTAAGCCAAGGGTTGAACAGGTTTTTAAATGATAAAATTTAATCTTGAAAGACAACAAGCACTTTTACCTACAGACTAGCTCCAAATTCTGAGGTTCCTGAATATAAATTTTACATAAAAGATTTAACAAATATGCTTAAATAATGACAGAACAAGCTATGTTTTTTTTTTTTTCTTTCCAAATGGGAAAAAAGGAAACCAACTACTTCAATTTTGCTGTTTGCTGTTAAAAAAGTTATTAAATATTTACACTAAACCGATTTTTAGATCAGACAGTATATAACATTTTGTAGCAACCCAACTTGATCATATGAGTCAGATGTGGCACAATTCTCAGCATTTACGTGTTTCAATAATATTGCAAAGCACAGAACCATTTTGAGACTCAAATTTAAAGTTTAACCAGGAATAGAATAATTACACTGTTCAAGCTTTCATTGTTTAAAAAAAAAAAAAAAAAGGATCAAATCATGGAGGGATAAGGTTTTTCAAATAAATGTAACACATTTCCCTTTCGTTCCCCATCCCTGCACCAAAGCCAATCGTTCCAACTGGAATACAAGGAAAGCAATGATTAGGTTTCAGGAGAATTTGTAATGGAATATCTGAAAATCTCTCTTTAAAATAAATGGTTATTTTAAAATTCTGGTACCTCATAAAGCACAAACACTGGACTGTACAATATTATTACAGGAAAGGGTGGGAATCTAAAGTCAGAGCCGAGGTAGAGTTCTGTTTGCTGGGAGGAGGGAAGAGGTAGTGAAAATCAAACACGGCCTGCTCTGCCGCACACTGGGAGGGATTCACAGCTCTTTGGCACCTTGTGTATTTCATCTTACATGAATGCCATATTTATGCTGAATAAAGGACACTCTCATGCTGAAATTTAACAGCTTAAAATAGAAGCCATATTTTGGCCTCACCATTTAATACTAACTGTGGTCTGTGTATATAGTATATTCCAGAGACTTCTATAGTTCAACAGGTCCCTTTCCTAGGTAACATTATCTATTTACTTTCAAATCTACCAACTTCCACCCCCAAATGCTTCTTTTTAGACAGAAGTGATTAAAGTCATTCTAAAAGGTGAAAATGGTACATTATTTTAATGATGACTAGCAATGAAATACTGAAGTGCTACCAAATAACTGAAGGACAAATGTCATACTACTTAAGATTGGTACTTAGTATCACTGACCATAAAATGCTGGCTGGACCAGAGGAGATATATACATTGGTACTTGCTGGGCTACTAGTCAAAAGGTTGGCAGTTGGAACCCACCCAGAGGTACCTCAGAAGACAGGCCTGGAAATCTGCTTCTGAAGGGTCACAGCCTATGGAGTACAGTTCTACTCTGACACACACGGGGCCACTACAAGTCGGAATCAGCTCGATGGCAATTAACAACTTAAGAAATTGACCAAGGTCCATGTAAGGGGTAGCTCTTATTCTGAAGGACTTCTAAAAGTGACTTGGATAAGTCAATGTATCACCTAATACAGAATTAAAAAATATATATTTAAGTAAAAGCAAACAAAAACTGGTGTAAACTGTTAATGCACTTAGCGGCTAACCAAACGTTTGGAGGATCAAGTCCACCCAGAGGTGTCTTGGAAGAAAGGCCTGGTGATCTACTGCTGAAAAAGCAGCCATTGAAAACCCTACAGAGCACAGTTCTACTCTGACACACACGGGGTCACCATGAGTTGGAGATGAGTCAATGGTAACTGGTTAGGTTAGGTTAAAGTTAAAGACACATCAGCTTATCTGCTATATTTAAGTTCAGGTTAAAACTCTGTAAAAGTAAAATCTCAATTAACTGGGTGCTGGAGGAGGGTGCCCTGGTGGTGCAGTGGTTAAGCGCTCAGCTGTTAACCAAAAGGTCTGTGATGCAAACCCGCCAGCCGAGTTGGAATTGCCTTGACAGCAGTGGGTTTGGTTTGGATTATGGAGGAGTCTGAAAGAGGAAACTCTGTGGCAGGGAAATGGACATGGGGTGGTGGTGCTGGTGGTTTTTTCTGGTTCATCATCAGTTAGCCAGAAAACTCCCAAACTTATGGTCAAAATGTTTCCTTAGACATGATGGTAATAATTACAAAAGGAAAAAATAGGGAGTTGGAATGAGAAGAAGGGAGAGGAGATGAAACAGAGCTTGTTTTTTTATTTCCAATGCAACCTTGGAGTGCCTAATTGAACATCTCTTCAGTGACTGAAGACCTTGTCATGTCCCTAATAGGTACACAGCCAGTGACCTAGCCTTGTGTAATTTACTGCTGTTGTCAACTGAGGATATGCTCATTCAAAGATTATACACTTGTGGATCCGTGCATTTTCCCCATACTCCTTTAACTTCCAGCCATGCTATGTTATGTTATGCTGTGTTATGCCTTCTCTTATGTTAGCATATTGTTTCCAACATTGTTTTATTGGTGCTCATGTTTAATTCCATTCACCTTATTATATGTGTTTTGTTGAAAGTCACTGCAATTCTTTTTGGAAAGGGGTGGAGTATAATAAATTCAATAAAATAACATGAACTATGCTCAAAGTTTGCTCACATGTACAACTGATTTTTTTTTCAAGAACAGGAGGCAATCTTGAGGTACACACTATGTAATACTGACATAAATTACAAGTTCATAATCTCACGTTAGTCCATTAGTTGGACACCAGTTTAAAGTCAAAACACTCTCTCCTCAACATCCTTCTTGTTTTCTCTTATTCCCAGTAGCGGGGCCCTCCTCTAAGTCTAATCCTTTCTTAAGAATACTCGTTGCTGTCGAGTTGATTCCAACTCATAGCAACCCTATAGGACAGAATAGAACTGCCTCATAGAGTTTCCAAGGAGCGCCTGGTAGATTCGAACTGCCCACCTTTTGGTTAGCAGCCGTAGCTCTTAATCACTACGCCACCAGGGTTTCCAAATCCTTTCTTAGACTCCCTAAATGATAGCATTCATTTGTAGAGGACTATACATGGAGAAGGAATAGCACATTTTCTCATCATTTGCTTTACTCTCTATAAAGTCCAGTTAAGTGAGGTTTATAATTAAGTCGCCATATTATTGAATTTTAGAGCTAGAAAAACAAAACCAGAGAGAGTACAAATCCTATTTCTTCATTTTACATTTGAGGAAACTAAGGCACAAAGAGGTTAAATAGCTTGCCAAATATTAATCAGGAAGTTAGCAGCAGAACCAGGACTAATACCTAGGTTTCTTGATTCTTGGTGAATACAGCGCTAACAACATTGTAAACTGGTTAAATTTATACTAATTGGTATTTTATTAGGCAGAGATCAGAATGGCAGTATGAGATTAAGATCGCACAATCGTTTCACTCACAGATTTCATACAACTGACCAAACTACTATTGGAGGATATAGGTTGTGTTAGTTAAGGTTGGGCCAGTGTGTAATGCTTAACATTGCCCCTCCCCTGCAAATATGTCTTGTAAATCCTAACCTCTATGCCTGTGGTTACAAGTCCACCTGGGAATGGGTTGTCTTTGTTATGTTAATGAGGTAGGATTAGTATAATGTGTATCTTGAGTCAATCTTTTTAGAGATATAAAAAGAGATTAAACAAGTGATCAGAGAGAGAGAGATGCCAATCCACATGAAGATCGCCCAGAAGCAGTAGCTCAGAAGAGGCAAGGACCTTCCTCCAGAGCCAACAGAGAGAGAAAGGCTTCTCCTATAGCTGACACCCTGAATTCGAACTTCTAGTCTCCTATAATGTGAGAAAATAAATTCTGTTTGTTAAAGCCACCCATTTGTGGTATTTCTGTTATAGTAGCACTAGATGATGAAGACAACTCCTAATATTTAAAACCTGGGAGGGAGATCATGGAGCAATTGAGAGGGTTCTTGTGGACTTAATGAACAAACTGTTGTACAATAAGACTACATGACAAGATAAATAGAAATACGATCATTTAATTTCAAGAAGAGAATGAGATCTGACTTCATATGCATGAAAAATTATTATATAAAGAAACAGCAGTGGTGTTCTCTCACTAGAGAGGAGAGAGTAAGAAAAAATAAACTCAAGCTTTAGGATGTAAGAATTAGATTAGATGCCAGGAAGGATTACCTAACTTGAAACTGATTAAAACTGAGATGAATTCCTAGAAGTAGATGAGGCTCTCCATTAGGTTTAATCATCATTTCTTTAGAATGGTTTAAGCGTGGTTCTCCCTAAAGGGAAGAAAATCTCTAACGGTCATTTCTAGTCATAGGATTATTTGAAACTTCGAGTCATTGGCAATCAGGGTTAAAACCTTTTTTAAAAACATCAATCACTTTCAAGTAGAAAAACTCACCCCCACTTAAAAAAAAAAAGAATTAAAGCATTACTTGATGATCTTAATCATTAAAAACTTTCTTCTTAGAAATAGTGTACTCTATAATTTCAAAGGCAGAAGCATGCTAATGAACTATAAGTTATATAATGTTAAAGATGGAAGAGAACTTAAAAATAACTTAGCACAACTTCTTTCTTTTATAAGACACCCAAGGCCAGGGAGTTTGTGTGTCTGGTTCTTAGATACAGATTTAATCCTAAGTAGAGCCAGCCCTATACCCCCAAACTCCCATAAGTCATCCCAGTGATCTTTCTATGACGCAAAGTTACCTCTAGTAATTCATACTGAATTTTTTAAATATGCTGTCATATCAATAAAGATTTTAAAGGAGAAAAAAAACCAACACTGATAGGACCACACTAACTTGAGGGGAAAAACAGTGTTTTTCGAAGGCATTTTGTGCACGATCACCTCATTAGGTGAAACTTTTCCTGCACACTGAAGGGTGTTTAGCATCCTGATCCCTGCCCACTAAAATGGCAGTAGCACGTTTAAGTCCTTGTGATAACCAAAAATGCTGAGACACTGTCAGATTACCTACAGAGGGGCAGAGAGGACTCCACTGGGTCTGCAGGCCTACTTAGAAGTTGAGCGCCACTTGGGGACAGCTATCTGCACCAAACATTTCTTAAAATCTAAGAAGAAACAGTCTGTTCAGGGATAAGCTTGCAAAGTCAAACTCTAAACTGACAGCAATTGTCACACACCCACTCCTAATTTGGGGGCTTAATTTTATTAAGCTATTTGCATTTCTTACATACTTAGAATGTCAGCAACATGTTCAATCCTGCAATAACAGCTGGGTCTACATAAGAGCAGTGGTCCTGAAGAAAGAGTTTACTTTGAACATACTAACTAGAACAACCAATTACCCATTGCCGTCAAGTCATTCTGACTCATAGCAATCCTACAGCTTGCCCTAAAGCCATTGTGTACGTCAATTAAAAGAAAAAAGTTAAAGTTTGAATGGACGTGTGTATGATTATTTAAAAATACTTACAAGATCCAGTGCTGAACCACCACCCAGGTATTCCATTATTATCCATAATTTTGAACCCTGTAAAAGCCATGAAACAATTTAATAATTATAAACCTGAATCAAATAACATATTGTTATAAACATTAAATTGGACATACCCGTGCACTGATACTAAAATATGTTTACAGTTGATAGTTTAGAACCCAGAACAAATGAAAATCAGGTTCTGAACCTTGCCTCCCCAATGATAAAACTATAACAAACAGGAGTTGTTGAACTATTAGCAATTTTTATAAAACCCAGAAAAACAAACTGTAGCTTTAAATGAGTATCTTGAATGGTGATATTGAACAGAAAAGATAGCTACATTAAAGAATGAGGGGGTAAATGGAGACTTGTAGAAATTTTGAATGGGGCTTCTGGGTGCTTCCTATAGGATTTTAGAGTTTGAGGACACTGGATATATTTTTTATTTCAGTTTTTGGCCTTTGTCTGTTATAATGTACTTTACAATTTTTGCCAGTCATAGTTAATGGACATTTAGGGTACACATATGGAACCTAGAAATAATATTGAGTTTTTCCCCTTTGGGACAAATGGGTAAGAAAGAGGGAGTGTGTAGTTTTAAAGGTATATGATTACTATGATAACTCCAAGTAGAATTAACTTTACTGTGAGTTATAGAAGAGGAAATGGAACTCACAGAAATATGTATTCCAAAACAACTGTATACACACACACACACATACACACACACCATCCAGCTCTATCAGTTAAAAATGGAAATAAGTCATTAAACCCTTGTTTTATTTCAGCTCTGTTGCCCCATACCATTTCATGAGTGGTATTCTCTGAATTTCTGTGGGACTACAGAGTTGACTAGAAGTGTTACGTTTGCTTTTACTATACTGGCAACCGACAAGTTGTGAATGAATTGTGTTCCGGAAGTCCATTTCTAAGTAAGATGTTTGGAATTTTGAAAGCAAGTATTTTCCCATAATAATGTCTAGGTTCCTGAGGTAGTCCTCCTAAAAGACAATTTAATGCAAATGTATCTGTAGTACAGCATGAACAGCACCAGGGAAACTAACTACTATTTATACCACAATGTTTCTATGGGAAAAATAGATGCAGTGTTGTGCTTCAACTGGATGCCAGGAACACATTTCTCACCTTTACAGTCCCAGCTGTGGGAGGCAAATCTCATGCTACTGCTGCTAGCTCTACAAACTCTAAAATCCCTGGGAAGACCTCAGGAGTTCCATTCAAAATCTCCAAGCATCTCCATGGGGCTGGGGCTTTATCAAGGCAGAGAATGGACTCTAGTGATATGACGAGGAGTGCTTAGGTGTGGGTAGAGGGTTGAAGAATCAGCCTAGGGACAGGGACTGGGGAGCGAGGGATCAGTCAAATTAAGACAAAAAGATCCCTCCCTTCTTTCTTGATGTTGACACTATGGCAGCTGTATCAGAAAAGTGGCAATGTTTTCCCCACCCTCTCTCCAATAATCTTGACATCCACCTTGTCCTGCCATAGCAGGCAAGCCTGAACTGAGGAAAGAAAGGTGGCGTCTGGAGCTGAGAGTCCTTGTTAGGAGCAGTATCCACAGTAGGACAGAGGAAATAAGTCCTCCACATGTAACTTGTATTTATGTATAGAAATGTGGCATTCGGAACCTGAGAACAGGGGACCTGATGCATCTTTACACTTCTTTTTTGCCACAAGTCTGTGTCTAACAAGTACTATACTGTACCTCCAAAAACCCAAACCTGTTGCCGTTGAGTTGATTCCGACTCATAGAGACACTACAGGACAGAGTAGAACTGCCCCATAGGGTTTCCAAGGAGCAGCTGATGGATTCGAACTGCTGATCTTTTGGTTAGCAGCCGTAGCTCTTAACCACTGCGCCACCAGGGCTCCATACTGTATCTAGAGGCTAGAATTAAAATCACACAGCCTAATACTTCATCTTCACTAGCTTATGAATTCAGAATGATTCCCATCTCTCCACATGACAGTTAAAATAATAAAACATGTTTAGCTGTTTTGCAGTTCTGCATGAATGAAAGCACCTGTTTTGCAAGTTAAAAACAATGTATGTCCTTTTTTTTTGCACCAGTTCAGAATGGAAACTTACCATCCGTCTGTTCTTCACTAAAAAGTATTCATAGAAAGCTTGAAATGTGACTTTACAAAACAGTATATAGTGCTGAGTTATTAAAGTGACAACGAAGCAACTTCCAAATCGGAGAATAAGGCTTCCTACCAGCAAGTCAGGGAGCAGTGGTAGCTCAGTGGTAGAATTCTCATCTTCCATACAGGAGACCTGGGTTTGATTCCTGGCCAATGCACCTCATGCACAGCCACTACTCACCTCACTGGAGGCTTGTGTGTTGCTATGATGCTAAACAGGTTTCAGCGGAGCTTCCAGACTAAGACAGACTAGGAAGAAAGGCCTGGCGATCTACTCCTGAAAATCAGCCAATGAAAACCCTATGGATTACAATAGTTCAATCCCTTTGTGCATGGGGCTGCCATGAGTTGGGAGCCAACTTGATAGCAGCTAACATCTACAATAACAAGCAAGTGAGTTGTTCAGCAGAACTATGACTCCTCTGTAACAGGGAGGGGACCAGAGGTACCTGATAGCTTTTCTGGCTGCCTCCTTCTGACTGCCACTCCTGGAGACAAACCTCACTGGGGGATGGCCATAGGTCTGGACATTCAGAAGACTGCTAGGCAGGCATAGGGAATGAAACAAGGCCTGAGTGGGAAAGGTGGGAATGGTGAGCTGGCAGGGCTTCTCCCTGCTCAAGGAAGCTGGACCCACAGAGGCTCTTCTTACCAGTTCCTTGTCCACAGCAGGTCTCAGTGACTGAATTAAAATACCAATCTAACAAAATAAATCCAAAAAACCTAGACACTATATAATTCTATTCTTTTGGGGGACTACAGCTTCAACCTTTGATTGCTGGTAAAAGACTTTAGTGCTGGAGAATGCAGTAAGTGTGTTTGGTTTGCTTTTCTAAATATCTTAAAAGCCTAAGATGATATCTACATACTGGTTTACAATTCCAAAAGAGCCAAGTGACTGTAAACCATAACCATATACCCGTCACATTTAAATGTAAGAAGTCCCTGAAGCGAGAACTCTACTTACATAAGAACCCACATATATGAACGATGGGTTGGAAGAGTAAGTTCAAAGCCCTTCATCAACATGGTGTGTGTGTGCGTGCGTGCATGTGTGTGGAAGTTGGGTGTTAGGAAATTACTCTTCATTCCCAAATTCAGAATACTGGCTCAGCGGTAGAATTCTTATCTTCCATGCAGGAGACCAATTCCCGGCCAATGAACCTCAAGCATAGCCACCGCTCATCTGTCAGTGGAGACTTGTGTGTTGCCATGATGCTGAACAGGTTTCAGGGTAGCATCAAGGCTTAGACAGACTAGGAACAAAGGCCTGGAGATCTATTTCTGAAAAATCAGTCAATGAAAATTCTATGGATCACAACAGTTCGATCCCATTGTGCATGGGGTCACCATGAGTTGCAGGCCAACTCTACAGCATCTAACAACAACAGTAACAACAAAGAGTAATAGTCCTAGAGTCCTATTGCTAACTGGGGAGAAATAGGAACCTAGTGTAACCAAATTACTGATGTACAGGAGTATCAGCTCTTGTCACCCAATGAGGCCTTTGAACCACACTGTTTGCTGCTACAGCAGACACTTGCTTTAGTAGAAAGTGCTAAAGTAGAAATGCTGCTTTTGTTCCAAATGAGAACTTGGAATTCATTTGTCCATGGAGAAAAAATGTAAGGTGCTCATTATATGTATTTCAAAGAGCATTATTTGTACTATATACTAAGTACACATTGAATTAAATAGATTTTGGCCACTGATTTGGGAATCTAATAACCAGTCATAACACTGACCACAAATACCTGCATGCAAAATTTTACAGAACTGCAAGAACAATAGAGATCATCTTGCCCAGAGTATGGCAGACACTCTACCACCTCTGAACCATTTTACTCCCTCTGAACCATTTTACTCCATGTCTGGAATGCCCTGTCCGTTCCCCACCCTCACATCCCAGCCCCTAAACCATACTTAAGACCTAGTTCAAATACTACCTCTCCAATTTTAGGGTCATTGCACTTGATGCCCCCACAGATAATGGGGTAATAGCCAAGTTGGAGCCATGGTGGTGCAGTGGTTAAGAGCTCGGCTGCTAACCAAAAGATTGGTAGTTTGAATCCACTAGCTGCTCCTTGGAAACCCTATGGGGCAGTTCTACTCTGTCCTATGGGGTCACTCCCTATGAGTTGGAATAGACTCAATGGCAACGGGTTTGGTTGGTTTTTTGGTATTAGACAAGTTAGAAATATATATCTGGAGCTGAGGAGAGAGGCTAGAACCAGAGACATGAAGTTAGAATTTGTAAGCATAGGAGGGGAAGAGATTGACCAGAACTAATATGCAGAATGAGAGAAGTATGTGTAGTAGACACTCAACAAATGTCTATTGAATTCAATCTAATGTGGGTGTCCTAGAGGTGTGTTATATTAAATTTAAAGCTATTCTTATTTTGAGAAAAGAAGATTGTAAAAAAAAAAAAAAAAAGAGAAAATATTTCCCTCCTAGATTTTCCTCAAGGTTTATAAGAAAATTCCAAAATAATTTAAAAATAAATAAATAAAAGAATATTCCAGAGATAGTCATCATATCCTTGACGGAAGGACACACACACACAAAGGTTCAGAGAAAAATAACGAGAAGGCCACAAAACTGCACAAACTCTGTTCTGGAATATTTTACTTCAATCATTCAATTCTTTTTATTTTATTTTTATAAATATTGCTGGTGGTAGTGGTGTACGGGGGAAGATATTTCCTTAACAAAAACAGAAATCTAATGGCAATTTTCAGCAGCAAATAAAGGCGTGATTCAAATTCTATTCAATGCTAGAGTGAGTTCATTTTAAGATTTACATTGAACTAGAAAAATATTTAAAGATTATAAAGATTCTTCCAATATTATGGGATCAGAAGGGAAGGGCTTGCTTATTTTAGCACGCTCCATAAAGACTAACTTTGTCTGTCAAGAAAATCTGCAGCGAACTAAAATGAAAGGAAAACAGTGTGGTCATATTGATGGGTTTGTCTGGTTTTTACTCTTGTTTTTAATTTTTAAAAATGAAGTTATAGTGAGCTCAGTCAAAATGAATACCTACTACATTTCTGCATGTCTCAAGGAAATTACTACAACTGCATACAGTTTCAGAGAGCATGTAATTTTCTCTCAAATGCATTAACTTTTTTCTCCAACTTACACTGAGGTCTTGGTTATGTATAATATCCTGTATAAGGACAACCTGAGAAAAATCCATATCCTATTTGACTCAATTAACTTGACTCACAAAATCCTCCATGTCATCTGAAATGGAGGATGCAGTTCCCTGATGGTACTAAAAGGATGTGGCCTTGTATTATGTCAACTGCATTAAACAGAACCCTGTTCTATTTGATGTGATGTTAATTTGTAAAAAACATAAGCCCAAATAGTCATACTATAATATAAATGGAAAATAAGAAGTTGGTCAGCCTAAGAAAGAGTGATTAGATAAATAACATAAATAAAATCATAAATCATTTAGAATCACAGAAGGATATTTCTCTGTCTCTGTATGTACACATATACATCTATATAGAAATTACATACATATATATGTACAGCAAAACCCACGAAAGCCAGAGCTTGTGTAAGGTGGAAACCTGTCAGAGAAGGAAAACTCAAATATTTTCCACTAATAGAGAGGAAAGGAAAGGGGTAAGACTTCACCCTATCAAAGGTGGGAAACTTGCGAGACCCAGAAAAACAAGGCAGTCCCGTCGAGTTTCGGCTCTCACAGGTTTCACTGTAATATTGCATGCCTACTATGTGCCAGGTACTGTACTTTATATACATTTTCTCTTTTAAGTTTCCCTATGTCTCTAAAAGAAAGGAATGATTATCTCCATTTATAGATGAGGAACTTGAATAGCAGAGAAAGGAAGTGACTTGCTCACTCACTCACTCACACACACACACACAAATTAATTTCCTTTAATATAAGCAGATCCAGGCTACAAATAATTAATATCTTCCAGCTGTGAATTCATACAATTTTATCATGAAGCAACATGTTCTTCAAAGTAGTCTTTAACATCATAGACAAATCTGTCTTGGAAGAAGTACAGCCAGAACAGACATGCTTGGTAAAGTAGAGGGACAGTGAAAAAGAGGAAGGCCCTCAACGAGGTGGAATGCCACAGTGGTGCAACAATGGGCTCAAGCACAACAACAATCATGAGGATGGCACAGGACCAGGCAGTGTTGTACACAGGGTCGCTATGAGTCGGAACTGACTTGACGGCACCAAACAACAACATAACAAAGGAAATAAGAATAATCTAATGTAGTCCTTTAAAAAGACATCTTGAACAATGGTTTTGTATCACTGATTTGTCTGAGAACATTCCACAATCAAGATATGGACAAGATGAACAGATAAGTTTGTATTTACCATATTTGTATATTTAAAGACTGAGTACTGGGTGACTAGTACAGGTATACTACTGTGTTAAACTCTGAGAAGAATTAAAAAAACAAAAAACAAAAACAAACCTTGAACTCTTAGGAATAAAAAATCTAAACAGCACTAGAACTCACTGTCCACGAGAGTACTGAATGTGAATAAACAAAGGCTATGAGGAACCAATAAAACACAGTCAACATCATTTCAGTACCCATTTTCAATATAATATGGGATAGCCCATTTTAAATAGGCCTTATTTAATATTTTAAGTCAGTTGCCAAAAATAGCTTATCTGTTACAGATGCCTAAAAATAGCAAGGGTTCAGGTTTGCTCTAGAGTGTGTCTGGAATTACCAGGATCCAATCCAGAAAGAGTTAACCAGAATGGGCAAACAACACACACACACACACACACACACACTCTCTCTCTCTCTCTCTCTCTCTCTCTCTCTCTCCATGATAAATTCCTGGGACTGCCTAACCAACCCTGCTAAGGGAATTAGGAGGGGGAACCTAGAACTACTGAGATTGAATGATCACTCACAGCATTTCTAAAAAAGAATCTGACCTCTTAAATTAGCTTTTAAGGAAAGAATATGAAAGCTAAATTATGCCACAAGAACCAAATAATTATGTACATAGTAAAATACAGTAATAGCTAACACTTAGATGTAAATGCTGAAATTGGATAGAGATTATCAGCCTTATCACCTCTTGGAAGCCTTTCTTCACTCTACCCCCGAAGAAAAGGACAGAAGTAACTACTTGCTTATTTGTGTCCCATCTATACCATGTATACATTTTAATCATAAAATCTGCACCATTTTGGTGTACTTTTGGACAGTTAGCTCCTTGAAGGCAGGAGTAAGTTACTCATTTTTATATCTCCAGGACCTAGTAAAGTGTTTGACACATTTTTTTCCCCATTGCCATTGAGTCGATTCCGATTCATAGAGACCCTATAAGACAGAGTAGAACTGCCTCATAGGGTTTCCAAGGCTGTAATTTTTATGGAAGCAGATGGCCATATCTTTCTCCTGTGAAGCGGTTGGTGAGTTCGAACTGATGATCTTTCGGTTAGCAGCCAAATGTTTAACCACTACATCATCAGGGCTCCTTGTATGACACATACTGGTTGTTTAATGATTCATTCTACTATGCATTCGATACACATTCATCTAGTTCATGTAATAATGTAATGTAAATAATAATGTGGTGTAAATCAGGCTTTATAAAAAAAGGGAGTGAAATTGATGATGAATTTCTGTATCAGGATTAACTAATATAGATGTAGATCAATAACTATCCTAGGGTTTATTTGGTCAGCAGAGCTTAAAAAGATAGCATTAATTTTTATGCATGTCAACAGCTTAATGAGTTATATACATACCCCTTTTGGCCTATAGATAGATGAACAAGAAAAAAAAAAAAAGGGAAAAATAACCTTTTCCTCTTATAATCCCTGAAGGACAAAAATCTAACAAATACTGTCTTCTTTTTTAAAAAATTCAACACAGAGATAAACAATTTTAATTTTAAGATAGGTTAAACTCTAGCCTAAGCTAGATCATTTTCCAGCTATTTATACTTCACATTTCAATAGACACAAATCCTGACTTTTAACTCTGGAACCCAAGAACTCTCGGGTTTTACTAACCAAAGAGTGTTCTATTATGCAGTAACATCTCCATCTGCTGGAACTTTAGGTGTCTGCTAATTCCATGATCCTGGAACCAGTAAAAATATTTCTTTTTCGGGGAGGGTGCAGATATTATTCCATTTCATCTCATCTCAGCATAGATTTATCATGTGCTTAAGATGTGCCAGATCCTATGCTAAGTGATATAAAAATCAAGAATGGTTAAGCAAAAATCCTTGCCATCAAAGAGCTCACAACCTGGTGGGACAGAGAGATATGTAAATAATCACCCATAACTCAGTGAAATAAGTGATATGCTTACATATTCCATCAATTCTGAGGTTGAGACAGGTGGAACCATTGAGAATAATGTGTGAAAGCCCAGGGGTATAGCTCTTTCCTGACAAAGGATATGTCTTAAGGACCAGCTGCATTGCTGCTCCTCCATCCCACCAAAAGTTGAGGTGTGGAAAAAGGGTGCAACTGAGAACTGGGATGCATTCAGGATACAGCTGCTAAATGTAACAACAGTCTATCTGGCACTATAAACGGAGCTGGAGTCTGCCTGGGGGCCAAAGACTGCCAAATCTTAATTTAAGACATTACCTTTCAAAAAAATGAATTTAAAAAAAGCAAGAAAAACTTATAATGAAAATACCTTATGACTTAAATAATACAGCACACACATTACCTTTAAATATGACCCATAGTATTTCGTTACATATGAGCTGTCACACTGACTCAAAACAGTGATTTCTTGCTGAATGTCTTCAATTTCATCTTCGGCTTCTTCTAGGTCTATGATTTTAATAGCAACCACTTGCTGGGTACGGTTATCAATGCCTTTGAAAACTTCTCCGAAAGAGCCTTTCCCGATGCGTTCTAATTTTGTGAACAGTTCTTCTGGATCGGCTATATTATTCTAAGGGGGAAAAGAGACAAAAAGAACACAAGTGTTTTGAATCAAATGTTTTTAAAGGAAGAAAAATAAATCACGTAAGACAATAACACATTTTTTAAAAGCATAGAAAGTCCTTTGACTCGCCACATGTGTTTTGTTAGAACAAATGTAATCCTAAATGGTCAGTTAGTCTGTATTCTATTGGATCACTCACACTAACTGGAATTAGCTGATCTTGCTACTCCAAACAACCCCATACAGCAAATGTTGTCTGTGCTCCCTGACAAAGGGTCAGGCACTTCATAGAATCAGCAGCCGATCATATACAATTTGCACTTTAATGGAAGGGTAGCAACAGTGAAAGAACAGCTAAACTAAGTGTAGTGGGTTGAATGGTGGTCCTCAAAAAGATATCTCCAAATCCTAACCCCTCAAACTTGTGAATGTGACCTTATTTGGGAAAAGGGTCTTTGCAGATGTAATTAAGTTAGGATCTCAAGATGAGATCATCATAGATTATCTGGCTGGGTCCTAAATCCAATGATCCAAACTCAAACCCGTTGCCACTGAGTCAATTCTGACTCATAGCAACCGTGTAGGACAGCGTAGAACTGCCCCACAGAGTTTCCAAGGCTGTACTCTTTACAGAAGCAGACCGTCACATCTTTCTCCATGGAGCGGCTGGTGGGTTCGAACTGCCTACCCTTTGGTTAGCAACTGAGCACTTAACTACTGTGCCAAAGCCCAACGATAGGTGTTCATATAAGAGAAAGGCAAAGAGAGAGATTTGAGATAGAGACACATATAGGGGTGAAGTCAGAGGCATAGATTGAGTGATGCACCTACAAGCCAAGGAATGCCATGGATTGCCAGCAACCACCATCAGAAGCTAGGAGACAGGCATGGAATGGATTCTCAGAGCCTCAGAGGGAACCAACCCTGCTGACACCCTGATTTCAGACGTCTGGCCTCTGTAACTCCTGTTTTTAAGCCACCTAGCTTGTGGTAATTTATTCCCCAATTCACACATCCCAATCACTCCCCCTATACTTCCAAAACACCATCCAAACAACACAGAACACAATAGATTCAAGAATTTAAACTTTCTTTTTTTAAAAAAAAAAACAACAAAACAAAACTCGGGATCCTGTCTGCATGTACTGGTCTCATCAATGGCTGAAATAAGAGGCTATCATTCGTTTGTCACAATAAGTTCAACTTTCACAACTCATCTCATGATGGGGATACAGAAGAAATCAACACTTTGCTACAATAAAATCTGAACTCAAGCATAGATTTTTAGGCTAACAAATATATAGGCATGACTTAGATTTATACATTCAATGTCCTCTCCCGATTCAGAAATTATATCTTTTATGTTGGTAATATATAATTTTGAATTAAAATTTCACTTGGATGAAACAATCTTTACATCCTTACTTTAACTCATATTGGTGAAGATATACTACTGATTAAGTAGAAACTCAAGATTTCCAGTCCCCCTCTCCCACGAAAAGACACTTTATTAAATTATACTTAAGCACTTTATTAGTCTATATCTAAAATTTTACTTTGAGTGCCTTCAAAATATAGGAGGATGCTATCTAGTTCTAATGAGTTGTCTATGTCTAATTTGTTAATCAGACCTAGAATATCTGTTCATTTGCTACCATTTTACCTACTCATCAGTTTCAAGAGATAATTACAGAGTTAGCACATTCCTAATATCTTCCTTTACTAGACAAATAGGCCATTAAAGTTTATTATTTGTGTCTGATCAAGTTCTTTGCACCATGATTACCAAACAGACCCACTGCTACTCCAGTGAGCTGCCTCCTTTTGAAGTAACTTGAAAATTTATGACTGCTTTTAAAGAATTGCACTAACTTTTCTTTTTTCAGCCTGCTTAAAGTACAGTTTGCACACGACCTGCTTACCTTATAAGCTTCCTCATTCTCCTTGATTGGATTTTTTCCATTTCTGAAAGATGTCCTTTCCATGTAGTAGTCTCTCTGATGTTGCAAGATACTTCTGTATCCCCACCCACCTCCAGTCCCACATGGAACAAATACATCTTGAGCTTCCCATATATCCATTTAAAAATAGTTTAGACTTTTAGTAGGTTGCAAATGCCTCTTTAATGCTCACATTTTCTTATAATACATTCTCAAAAACTTGAGTACCATCATTTTTAATTTCCTTAGCGTTTTTTTTTTTTCTTACCACGACATTGTACTTCATGGTGATTACTATTACATAGTGGCTAACACACAGTTATATCTTCCTACTTTTGGTGATGGTTGTTGCCTTTTCAGTACCTTGTGGCAGAAATACCCACCAAATATCTTAGTGATGGGTTGGCCTCCCTATAACTTCCTAAATTCAGTGGACTTTGAAAAATAAAAAAGAAGGAATCTTTCAGTTGTCCTGATGCAGCTGCAAAGCTAGTCTAAAATTTGGAAATACGTCATTGATTAAAAATATGTAGTATATATTTTCTAAAACAGAAATTGATAACACATTCTGGATTGAGAAGTATATTCATTAACTTCATAACAAGAATTGTCTGTTGGACTTTCACCTAAAGCACAATAAAAAAAAATGTAAAAGAATCATCTGTTGTAAAAAACAAAGATTAAAATCCTAATCTTCCTTATTAGTGTTTTAAAAGGATATGACTAAAACAGTCAACCCCAGGGAGGATAAAGCTGTTCCTTGTTTTCTATCCTAAATGGATTCCTGAAAGTGTGTAAATCAAAGACTTAAAAACCAAGTCACATTTTGCATTTTAAAGAAGCTCTGAAGTGAATCCCAACTCATCAATACTGTAAAAGATTTTAAATCAAGGAATACCAAGTTGGATACAGAAATGTTTGCACTTCCCCACTCCTCACCTCCCTGACTACCTGAGGGATACAGATCCCTGTTCTGTTTACCAATTCCTATATCCCTGATTGAAAAAACAAACAGTTGCCATCTGGTCGATTCTGACTCATGGTGATGCTATGTGTATCGGAGTAGAACAGTGCTCCATAGAGCTTTCAATGGCTGTTTTTCAGAAGTAGATTGCCAGGCCTTTCTTCAAGATGCCTGCAAATGGATCTGAACCTCCAACCTTTCTGTTAGGAGCTGAGCATGTTAACCATTTGTACCACGAAAAGACTCCAAATCTTTCATAGATAATCCCAAAATTCTAATTTCCCCTTCATCATCTCACTGGTTTATTAAATCAATGTATCCTAAGTACTTATTAAGACAGATTTCCTTTCTTTTTTTAGTGAAAAGGCAAAAGTCAAGTAAATAACTTGTAAAAATCCCTAGAAATGCAATAAAAAGACCACCTATATAAAAGAAGCTGCTTTGCTCAATCATTCACACAGCTCTTCAGAGCCTTGAAGAAAATTGAGTCAGCTCTCAAAGAAAATCAAGTCAGCAATCTCCTTACCCAAATTAAATATTCTTTTAAGAATACTAAAATTTCTAAATCTTTTTATGCCTACTGCATAATTAAATTTTACTATATCTGTGTTTACATTGCCTTCTGGAAGCAGTAGCCCTGAAAGGAGCCCTAAGTTCTGTAGCAAATAGGAGGAACCGCTAAATTAACTTCATATTGATTTACAACAAATGGTGTATGATTTGTATATGCACTGCAAAAAGGATTTATGAAAATGAAAGCCTCATAGACCCACCTTAAGGCATTCACATTATTCTTTGACCTTCTTTACCTGTCCTTTAGTATGGATTTGGATGTTTCAGCCGTAAGTACACTGTTACAAATTTAAGTCACAGACCCAACCCATTGCCGTCCAGTCACTTCCAACTCATAGCGACCCTATAGGACAGAGCAGAACTGCCCTATAGGGTTTCCAAGGAGCGGCTGGTGGATTCGAACTGCCGACCTTTTGGTTAGCAGCCGTAGCTCTTAACCACTATGCCATCAGGGTTTCCTATATACATACACAGTATTTAAAAAATTAAGCCTGTAGTACTTCTTCTAAGGATTCATCTCTAGAATTAGCACTTACCGTCAAATAAGACTAGAAACATAATCTTTACCAAAACACAAGCAGCTGTTTCTGTATGTGTTCTTGAACATCTTTTTACCCAATATAGTCTACATGATATTAGGGTGTATTGTGATTGGTGACAGAGTTTTGAAGTAACAGCCAACATTGACAAAGTGTAAAAGTTTAGATCTTGTCAGCTAATAGAAAAGGGGTCCAACTTGTGGAGGGGGCATTATGCTGAGTGAAATAAGTCAATCATAAAAGGACAAATATTATATGATCTCACTTACATAAAAAGACAAGAAAAGGCAAATATATAGAGAACAAAGTTTATTAGTGGTTACCAGAGGCAGGATGTACTACTAAATGGTACCTCTAGAAACTGTTGAATTGGTGTATGTTTTGCTGTGTATATTCTCAACAATAGCAAGAAAATAAATAAAATTTTTTTTTTTAGAAAAAGAATAAGTGGTCAAGAGAAATAAGAAGACTGCAGACAAAATTAGAGTTAGCTTTAGGGTTCTACCAGAATGAAGACTGGAGAGCCAAAGGTGAGAAATACCCAAAGATAAAGAATCTAATTTCTTTGAATCTGGGGGAGCTAATTAAGACCTCTTGTCTGGGGCTGAGAGTGAAAGCATAATAAATCTAGGGAAGAGAAGGTAGACTTCTCAGAGAATTTAACCAGAAGAGTTGAGCTCAGGTGGCCTGAAAGAACCTTCAAGAGCTGGAATCAAGCTGAGCGAGGCTGAACTCAAATTATGTTTTGTACTATGAATGCTCTCAGCTGTAAGATACTTTGTACACTTTTCAAGGACTAGCCGGTTTTGGCCTACTCACTGATAAGGAGGGTATACAAGAAATGATGAGCAAAGAATGTGCTACTGGTATCAAGGCTTAGAAAGGAAGACCTCCTACTCCCTTCAACTCCTCAAGTAGAAGCAGCAGGAGTGACCAGCAGCGAACACAGTGTATCCTTAAGATTAATCGCAGGCAGTAACTAAAAACTTT